AGCGCACCCGACTGTACGATGCAGTGTGCAGATCCTGAGATCCCGTCGTCACGCATCGCCGATGCATCGGGTCGCCACGCAGCAGACCCTGAGCTACGCACCCTGAGAGCCTTCAGTTCGGCGACCTGGCCCTTGACCGTCTCCACGGCGACTGAGGAGGCGAGGATTACTGAACTGATGGATTTCGGTGTCCTGGCATACCGAAACCCATCAGCTAAATCATCCTCGCCTCCCCAGTCGCCATAGAGACGCTCAGGAGCCAGATCGCTGAGCTGAAGGATCTCAGGGGGCGTATGAGCGTCTCAACTGTCGCCGATGCATCCGGTCGTCTCCGTTGTCTCGAGCCGGGCGTCGTCGCCTCTGTCCAGGCCGTTGCCATCGGTCCACGACGGGCGTGTTCGCCCAGGCTCGGGCCCCGGGGCCCTCGCAGATCGAGCCGCACGGCCTCAGGCTCCCGGCGAAGAGTTCCTGCGATGCTGCAACGGTTTCGATGCGTCGAGTGTCTCAGGGAACAGGCGGAGACGCAGAGGCAGATCTGCTGGGGCCGTCCGGCGGCACGGCCCAAGACTCCTCGCAGCAGCAGAGCAGCCCGGCAGTGCCGAGGTCTGCGAGGTAAAAGCTGCCCTGACCTGCCGAGGAGGTACTGCCAGGCCGTATGAGAAGGGCGCACGAAAAGGATGCGAGGGCCTCGGAGGGCCAGGTCGAAGCGCGGCCAGCGAGAGCGGCCAAGCGTGGGCCCAAGGGGAAGGGTGCAAGGGTAACCTTGGAAGGTCGCTCCTCCGTACTATGTGGGTTGCCTGCAGCAACGCCAGCGCACGAGTTAGCTTCTCCCTCGAGGCCCAAAAAGGATTCGGACCCACCTCAAACCCAGACCTCCGGTAGATTGATGCTGCTTCAGCACGTGCACGCCAGACCTCGCGAACCCTTCACCAGGGGCGCTTCGTCCAAGACCATGACGTTGCAATTCTGGGGGCCGAAACCAGCCCCAAGCTAAACTGAGAAAAACCGTCAGGAGTGAAACACGACCTTTTCCGCCCGAAGCCTGGGAGCCAAATGCTCTCAGGTCGACCGGGCCTCCCATCCTGACCAGGATCATGAGCTCCCCAAGGCCACTCGCCCTCAAGCCGCTCATGCCCCCTTCCATCAATTCACGGCTTGCGCACGCGGGTCCAAGATGCATCAGAGAATGAAACGAAGCAGAAAGAAGACGGCCCTAGAGGCCCCCAACATCGACCCAAAAGCGCCCTAGAGGCCTCCTGGATGGCCCCATGACAGCAAGAGGCCCCCAAGAGGGCCCCAACAAGGCCCCAAGACAGCCCGAGAGGCCCCCAAGAAGCCCCAGGCGGCCTCCAAGACGGCCAAGATGGCCTGCAAGATGCCTCCAAGACGGCCAAGAAGGCCTCCAAGACAGCGAAGATGGCCCCAAGATGCACCCAAGACGGCCCCAGATGGCCTGAAGATGGCCTTCGACTGCCCAAAAGGCCCGCCAGAGGTCTGGAGCTGCCTGAGGGGGCCTGGGATGCTTCTTGGGGACCTCGTGGGGTCTTCTTGTAAGGGTGTCTGGGGTCCTCTTGGGCTGCCTGGGCGTGTCTTGAGGCTCTTTGGGGGCTCGCTTGGGCCATCTTGGCGCCGCCTTGGGCTGTCTTCGGGCTCTCTTGGGAGCCGATTGCGGCCCTCTTGGGGCGCTCTAAGGCGCTCATCGGATCCTCGGGGGGGGCGCCGGGGGGCCCATATGGGGCATGCTGAGGCCCTCCAGAAGAGTCTGAACAACACCACCGATCTTTCCGAGGCGCCGAACAAGGGCCAACTGCCAGTCGGCACGCCAAGCACACGCCGACCACCTATGCGACACACCAAACGCATGCCGATAGAAATCAGAAAACAAGCACACAGCGTTCTGGACTGCAGAGCGTGGCACGAGATCTGCGACGCTTCCTCTGCCGAACAAACTTATGCCGAGCTGCCGAACGGGCGGACGGAAAACAGAAGAGGAAGGTGGCTCGAGCCTCTCCGAAATCCGCCACCGTGCCTGCGAGGCACGAATAGATTGATAGATCTGGGCGCGAACGCCGTCTCGGGTTCCCATCGCTCGAAGGCTGTCCGAGAGGCCCCAACGATCGCCCCAGAACGGCTCGAGAAGCCCCCGAGGGGGCTCCAAGACGGTCCAAGAGGGCTCCAGGACGGCCCAGGCAGCCTGCAAGACGGCCCAAGACTGCCCCAAGGGCGGCCCAAGAGGGGGAACACGAGCTGACGTTTCGCGCCCTCCGCTCCAAAACGACCCCTCTGATCGCCAGCAGGCGCCCAAGAGGCCCCCAAGAGGCCCCCAAGAAGCCACAAGAGGCCCCCAAGAGGCCTCGTAAGAGATCCCAGAACGGCCCCCATGAGACGGATCAGAGCAGCGCCCAAGAGGCCCCCGAGAGGCTTCCCAGGAGACCCCAAGAGGCAGCCCTAAGGACACCAACCCACGACACGGTGGCGGGATGGGCCGAAGGTCATCAGGATACGGGTCATGCCAGGCTGGGCACTCGAGGGAGCCCATCCCAGAAGCGCAGCAGGCGACGGCCCTCTCAAAGACACGTCACGGGCGAAGACCCATGCAGAAACACCAAGGGTCGTGTGCGCCGCGAGCGCGCTCAAACGGAGGGGGAGGAGCAAAACGGAGGAGGGAGGACGAGGCCGAGGGAGAGATCTACGTTGGCAAACCGGCCGCAGAGCGCCTTCCTCTGACGGCGCCGGTCCCTCGAGCGGAAAGAGGCAAGCCCTTTCGACGAAACCCGTTCCACAAGAGCTGGGACACAACGCTGGCCTGAAAGAAACCAACAACGACGCCTATAGAAGCACTCAAGAAGCGGCCTTGCCACTGGGAGTGCCCGAGGGAACCCACCCCACGAGCCACAGGTGGGCAACGACTAGCCACAGGAGGGATGATGAGGCCGAGGGAACCCATCCCACGGGCCACAGGAGGGATGACGAGGCCGAGGGAGAGATCTGCGTTGGCAAAGCGGCCGCAAGGCGCCTTCCTCTCACTCTCACGGCGCCCCGGGCTGTCCACGAAGCTTGTCAGACAACGTCGGGTTGAGAACGCCAAGAACTCTCAGAAAACGCATCGCAGACGACCGACACAAATCCCACCAGCCCTGTGGGCGTCGGTGGTTTAGAGCGTTTCCTCTTCCACCCTCCTTCTTCCCCTTCGGGGAGGGTTTACCCCTCCCCCTACCCCGTCCCCACTGACCTGGACAGGGGGTTCCGCGGCGCGTTGGAGCGCCCAAGATGGCCCAAGACGGCTCCAAGAGGGCCTCAGGGAGCCCAAGATACCCTCCAAGATGGCTCAGATAGCGCAAGATGCCTCAAGATGGTCCCCATGATGTTCCAAGACGTTCCAAGAACTCTCCAAGACGGTTCCAAGTGCCCACAAGAGCATCATTAGGATGCATCCAAGAGGCCAAAATGCTTCAAAACCCTAGGGAAAATCATGTTTTTGGTGTTCTCACTTTTTCGCTTGCGATGCACATCCGAGGCGTCAAGATGGCTCCAAGATGGCTCAAGATAGCTCCAAGAAGGGCCCAAGAAAGCCCCATGACGGCGCCAAGAGCGCCGAAGAGCGCTCCAAGAGCGGTCCCAGAGCGGTACAGGAGACGATTTTTGGAGTTCCTGGGGGGGGGCTCTAATTAAGGAACCCCACTTCCTTGACCGATGTCCTCCAAGATTGCCCCAAGAGCGCCCCAGCAGGGCCTTCAAGGGCGCCCAGACGGGTCCAAGAGGAGCCCAAGCCTCCCAAAATAGCTTCCCAAGAAGTCCCACCAGCCCTCTGGGCGTCGGTGGTTTAGAGCGTTTCCTCTTCCACCCCTCCTTCTTCCCCTTCGGGGAGGGGTTTACCCCTCCCCCTACCCCCTCCCCACTGACCTGGACAGGGGGGGCCGCGGTAGTTAGAGCGTCCAAGATCGACTCCTGGGAAGGCTAAAATTCGACACCCCTCACGAGGATCGTGGCTCCTGATGGGGGGGGCTGTAATTAGGGAACCCCCCTTCGTTGATCGATCTCCTCCAAGATTGTTCCAAAAGACGTTTTGGACCCCCTCTTGGGCTCTGCGCGCGGGCGGGCGGAGCGCCGCCCGCCCGCCCGCAAGGCCCAAGAGCCCACCAAAACGTTCGAAGACACTTCCAATACGCCACCAGGGAGGAGGAAGAGGCGGAGGAGGAGGAGGAGGAGGAGGAGGAGGAGGAGGAGGAGGAGAGGGAGGAGGAGGAGAGGAGGAGGAGAAGGCGGAGGAGAAGGAGGAAGAGGGGAGGAGAACAGCTGCCGATCATCGGCGCTCTTCGTTCGAGCGCCTGGTGTAGGATGGGCTGGTGGGGATACGCGAAGCGTCAAGAATTCCATCGGATCATGGTGTTGGCCTGCCGCGCTGCTCTGTCGTACTGGTCTGCCGTGTTGTTGGGTCTGCCGCGCTGGTCCGCCCTGCTGCTGTGGTCTGTCGTGTTGGTCTGCCGTGCCCCCGTGGTCTACCGTGCTTGTCTGCCGTGTTCCCGCGGTGCGCCGCGATGGTCTCCGGCGCTGCCGTGGTCTGCTACGTGCACGTGTTGGGCGTGCGCTGGGCGGGCAGGCGGGAGGGGGAGTACGGCGTGCATGCGGGCCGCGTGCTTGGCGGGTGGACGCCTGCGGTCTGCCGTGCCCCCGAGGTCTGCCGAACTCATGTGGTATGCCGTGCTCTTGTGTGGTCAGCCGTGCTCCTGTGACGTGTTTTGATGTGCCCCTGTGGTCTGCCACGCTCCTGCGTGGTCTGTCGTACTTCTGTGTGGTCTGCCGTGCTCCTGCCAACTGCCGTGCTCCTGTGGTATGCCGTGCTCCTCTCGTCTACCGTGCTCCTATGATCTGGCGTGCCATGCTCCTGCGTGGTCTGCCGTGCCCCCGCGGTTAAAGTTAAAGTTAAAGACGGGGCCTTCAAGGCGTAGTGGTGGGGCAAAATGGCCAATAAAAGGACACGCTCTCCCGAGAGGGGCCGCCTAGGGCCGCCTCTCGCCGCGGGGGCCGCACTGGGCCTTCACCGCGCGGCACCTCAGGCGAGAGCAGAACTACACACAGCATGCAACTGCCCGCCTCACTCTTCACTCTTGGGCCGCGTCGCGCAACGCGCACGGCCCAAAAGAACATCGAGGAGCCGCTGACGCTCCTCGGCATTTGGACAACCTGCACCTCCGAGGCGGACGCTGAGGGCGCGGGCCTCGGCCAAGTCCAGGAGTGACTCAACTACCGACTTCGGCCCCTTGGCCGCACACGCCACCGCCGCCACAGAGAAGCCGCCCAGGAACGAAACAAACACGCCCTCCGAGACCGAGCGGCCCTCGCCCTCGGCGCAGACGACACTGTCCGCGACCAGGGGCGGCTCCACGTCGTCGCTGACGACACTGCCACCGTCCAGGTGCGGCACGACGTCGCCGGCATACTCGACGGGTCCACGCGTAGACGGCCTCGAAGAGTCAGCATCGCTGGCACCAGCCAAACCGTCCACGCTGCCACGACCGCCAGCACCAAGCTCTGCACT